AAAATATTAAATTTGTTAAATTTATAGGTAAAGTTTCAAAATATTGATTAGAATATTTTCATGAAAATCAAAATTGAATATATGTAGATGATATATTCACATGAGTAGAACTGCCCTTGACAGAAGTGAGAGAAGCCAGTGCTTCCAACCAAAAAATAATATTTATTTTACCAGCCATATCTAGAGAACCAAATCCTAGTAGCATTAGTGGTTGTGTTGCCGCTGTATATATAACAGGCTAAGAGTTTGAAATTCTTCTCCAGTATTTTACCACATTTTTGTTTTGGCTTGTATCTTTTAGATTTGTAGGATTGGCTCTGTATATGAGAGATTTTCGATGGAAGTGTTTCTATATTTTGTTTTTTTTTATACCTCTTAGTATAATTATATGTCAGAACGGTTTAGGTGTTTTTGAATCCTCTGAAACGTGTTTAATCAAACTAATCATACCTACTTTTCAAATATTCACATTCGTTTGTTCTTGTCTCATTTTTTACTTGATTTAGTCGACTAGATACGTTCAACTTTGCGAATTGTAAGTTGCTAACTCAATTATATTTCCTCTTTTTGTTTAATTTAGAAACAAACTAAACTGTTTTCTATCTATTTGATAAACTTTAGGCACAGTTCATAATTCATAATCGTATCAAATAAAAAAAAATCAGACTAGGTTCAACTGGTTTCATTTCCATATGGACGGTATTTGATTTCAAATTTCTAGAATCCAAACAATCAAATTAACTCTCACTTAATATTTTATTTAACGCTCACTTAAATTAGTGTTAGGACATAGAGTTTCTTCTCAGTCTTATTTGAGTTATAGTTTTATTTTGTTAAGTCTTATTTTGTTATAGTTTAATTGTATTGTTTTATTCTAAATTATAACACTAGACTAATATATGATGAAAAAATTATTATGTTTTTGAACATCTATGAAGTAACTAATTATATGATAAAAACTAATTATATGATGAAAAGACGTTTACTATGAATCTCTCATGAGTTTTTAAATTTTTATTTTGAGATCTTCTTTTTTTATAATTTTTTTTTGAAAGTGAGGATGGGTTCGGGTCTTCGGCCTTAATTTCCCTCTATGCACAGAGCCAATTTTCGTCTGTACTTTTTACGGCTCTGGAGACTTTTTCCCGTCCAAGACTCGAACTCGTGACTTCTCCGACAGTTGTCTAAAGTGTTACCAGTTGAGCTAGCTCATCCAGGTATATTTCTTTTATTTTTCTCTTATATATTCATTATTATTAACATAAATGACTTACTTAGAAACTTCCTTTGACAATGTTTTCACACTAGTCTTACATTGTCCTAGTCAAAAGTTTCTACAGAGAACATAGTCGACAAAATCCTGTGGAACAGTTTATAAAATCTCGTTACAGAAAAATGGATTATATATATATATATATATATATATAAAAGTACATGATTTATCGAATAAGGATTTACAGAAAACTCAGACCTACTTTCCAAAATATTAGGATATTACGGTGGATCACAAGATAACTGGTAACGAAGCTGATTAATACCA